TGTCTAAGCAGGTTCATTTTGCGCCAAGTCGGACTACGGATACTGCTGTCGACGTCGCCAATTGTTTTTTCAGCAACGTCTTCCGCCTGCATGGAATGCCTAGCACCATTGTCTCGGATCGGGATACAAAATTCACCAGCACTTTTTGGCGTCGCCTACAGGAGCGTATGGGCACCAAGCTTGCCATGTCCTCATCGTTCCACCCACAGACAGACGGCCAGTCGGAAAGAGCAATCCAGACTTTGAAAACGATGCTGCGAGGCTTAGTCAACCATAAGCAAGACGACTGGGACCTGTATCTGCCGGCGGCCGAATTTGCATACAATAATGCTGTCCACTCCTCCACTGGTGTCTCGCCCTTCTTTTTGAACCAAGGGTTCCATCCTCGGGTGCCTGCTTCTCTTCTTGGTCCCGCCACCCCTTCCAGCCCCTCTGCATCGGACTTTGACTCCTTTATCTCTGCACAGCAGTCTGCCCTGGCTGCTGCCCGCGATAGCCTTCTTGAAGCTCAAGTTCAACAGGCCAAGCATGCTGATGCCCATCGACGCCCTCACTCCTACCAGGTCGGTGACCAAGTCTTACTCAGCACCGAGCACATCACCACTGCCTACGACTCCACCCGCCCTGCTGCCTCCCTTCAAGCCCGTTTCTTTGGGCCATTCACTCTTCTTCAACAACGCTCACCAGTCTCGTTTCAGGTTGAACTTCCGCCCACCATGCGCATTCATGACGTCTTTCATGTTGATCGGTTCAAGCCCTTTATTTCATCCCCCGAATCCCTTGGTCGTCGCTCCTCACCGCCCCCGGAACCTGAGATCGTCAATGGCGAAGTCGAGTACGAGGTCGAATCCATCCTTGCACACAGAACACGACGAAAAAGGCCCGAGTTTCTCATCAAGTGGGTAGGCTATGACGAGGCCAAGGACTCCACCTGGGAACCCCTTCAGTCCATCACCAACTCACCCCTCATCCTCCGCAAGTATTGTCAAGAACATGGCCTTCTTCATTTATTAGGGGAAGGTGTGATAGTATCCTAGGCTAACCTTCTGCTTAGCCCTCAACCACGCCCCCATCACCGCGCCTCCACCACTGCGCCCCCTGTATATTAGTATAAATACCTCTATCTCTCTGTATAATAAAGATCATCCGTTCTAGCCCTTGTCTCTTGTCCCCTGCCTCTCGTGTTCCTACCTCGTGTCCTCTTGTTCCTGCACTTGTTCCTTCCTTCGTTTTGTTGCTATTACAGGTGCCGTTCTTGAGCTGGTTGACCGTAGACGTGATGTCCGAGAGGGGGGAGCCTCGCGGACGTGTGTTGGTGCTGATACAGGGTCCTTTGTTTTTTGGCATATGGAAAAGTGAGCAAGCATCACATATTGCAAGCATTACAAGTTATTGATACAGATAGAGGCAACCTCTACGAGGATATAAGGTAAGGTCAGCTGTCACAAAACTGAATAACACCCTTTATATATTCCAATTCAGTGGAAAAAATGCACATTTCACTATGAAAAGTGCATTATTCTGCAAAAAGGACTGTAGGAGAGGACGCACTCCGGCATATATAAAAAATAAAAGAAAATAAGAATGTGTCTTTAGACACTTATAAAGTGTTATATACTTGAGCGTGAGCGCTTATGCCTGATCATAAATAGAGAGAAGGCTAGACGCGTAGGAATGGGCCTCGGCCATAAAGGTGTGCGTAGAAGACGCGTTGTTTTGGATATGAAAACCATAGAATGCGTAAAGGCAAACTAGAACTGGCCACAGAAGCAGTCACTCCCGCTTACACCGCGTGTCTAAACGAAAGCTGGAAGCTCTTCTTCACGACTTGATCCCCAGCAAGCGAGCCCCTGTATTCGGCAAAGTCAAGGCATACGCCTGGGTTGTCGAGTTCTGGAAGCGTGGTTTGCTACGGCTAGTACAAGTCCCAGACCACGATGACTATGACAGCATCGTCTCCGCTGAGTCATTGCTCTACGGGACTGTGGTAACGTCGATGATCCATGGCCCGCGCGAAGCCCGCTGCTTAGGGAGACTGCGAGGAACCGACCTTCGACATGCAACAAGGGCTGTCCCCGCGCGTTCTCGAACGAAACATCCAAGAATGAGAAGGGCTATCCTCATTATCGTTGTGGTGTATTCACCACATTGTCTTGCTTATATAGAGCACCCTATTTTCCTTGGATTCACCACCACTCGGTGCCGATCCTTTATGAGGCGCATTGTGCCTCTGGGACTTTCCCCAATATTCCTAGTCTCCTATACTAGATGCATTTATAGCTATTCCCTAGTATATAAGGCACGATCTGCCACTATTAAAAGGGCATATCGACTTATTTTCCGAGAGCTATAATTTAAAAGTCCTACGATTTGGGCGAAGCATCTAATAATATCATAAAGTTAGTCCATCCGTTTGCATTTCCAGCAGCTACGCTGCAGCTCCTTCGTCGTCGGCAACCCCAACCACCGAAACCGTCGGTAACACGGATATTGGTTGTTTACAGGCAATGAGTCCCTGTTCCGCTACAACCGAACTTGGCTTTCCTGACTCCAAACATCAATGGCATAGAAGATGGAGGTTGATGAACCCACGCTCACTCGCTGAGCTCTTACCTTTAGTCAATGATGATCCAATCTTTGTTGCGTTAGCTAGCGGCTCTGCTTCCCTTCACACAATGCAGCAGAATCCTCTACGTTCCACATTATACTATTCCCTGAGATGCTGCATGCTGATGACCTTGGTCGCACGAACAAAGCTAATATCATAAAAGCACCATTGTCAAATGGATAGAACCTCAGTTCTTATTTTAATAAACATCCACTCAACACGACACTCACAGGCTGTGACCAATTGCGTCCCCTACGGTACCACTAACACGCTTGCTGCATCTTTAGAATCTTTTTTGCTTCAGTCATCGACAGCTGCTATTTTTCAGGTGTCTTGGTGTGTTTGCAAGCGAATTTACAAAAAAAAAAAAAAAAAAAAAAAAAAAAAAGAGAGAGAGAGAGAGGGCGAAAGAGATAGAAACAAGGATTGTAGTCTCAAGTCCTCTAGTGGTCTGAAAAGGGTGTGCGATTCCCCTCAACGGTCTTAATACGACCGTGTAAGCGACTTCGTAGAAGATTGTTACAGTTTTCAACTGTTAGTAGATTTTTTTTTTAAAAAAAGATAGCTACTGAACTAATTGTCATTATTTCATAGAAAGACGTTCCGTTTGGCGCCAGTCGTGGTTCCTGACCGTCCTCAGCTGGATGCCGGCCTGGACGCGCGAGAGGGCTATGTTCACATTAGCCCTCTGAGTTTACCAAACGTCTCACATGACACGACCTGAATTTCGTCTCGACAGAAACAAATAAATAACTTGCCACGCTTTCCGCACTCTTGCATCCACTCACCAACGCCTACCCGCCTGTGCATCCACATCCACTCACGTCCCCAGCTACTTCACCAACACTGTCGCGCCCTCATACATCCGACCGCACCCTCGCATAAACACACACGCACATTACATACCATGCTCAGCGTCAGCACCACCTTCGGCCTGGCCAACACCAGCCCCAATGGCATCTCAAACAGCGATGACGCTCAATTGGATCTGTCTGTCTCCAAAGAAGGTGCAGACATTCCGTCCAACAGTACTCTGGCAGTCAGCAGTGTACCTGTGCACGATACTAAGAACGTCACCGTAAACACGGCCGTCTTTAGCGCACAGGGCCATACCCCTAGTGGTGGCCTCTCTGAAGAAGAGCTTTTATTACATCTCCATGTGCAGCGAAAGCGTCTTGCCACCAGAAAAACTCTGGCAGCTCGGCTCCTGACGGCGCAGCACACGCCCAGTGTTGAGGCGGTCTACGAAGCGGCCAAGGATGAACTTGACGATGTCAATCGACGTATTGAAAGCCTGGTCGAGTCGCATAAAGCGTTGGCGACTCGAGAGCGACCACAGCTAGCGGCGCTCATCAAGACCATTGAAGGTAACGACCCTACTGCTAAGGGAATTGAATACCAAAAGCCATTAGAGATCACCAAAGATATGTCCATGTTTCAAACGGGTTCGGACCCGCGACAGTTCTTGGATGAATTGGAGTGTACGGTTTGTGCTGTCGTGGGCGAGCAGGTCTTTGCAAACTTGTGTGGTCGTTATCTTATGGTATTTACGGGCAAACCCGATGTTTTGAGATTGCTCATGGAAGAGCTTAATAAAAGAGTAAACGAAAAGCTGTCGTGGGATACCTGTCAAACGATCTTCCTGCGCATCACGCTAACGGACTCTGAGCGCTGCCGTCGAATCAACGAATTGTTGAGCACTGGTCGATTCTCCAATGAATCCTGTCGCCAATATGGACTGAGGATCGGCAGAGAGTTGAGGATCCATGGGTGTCCAGATGATGATCTGAACATACTGGCCATCTTGAAATCAACCGTACCGCCTATGGCGCTCCTCAACATGACCACCCACTTGATACTCCAGAGAAGGAAAATGGGGTTTACATCACTCAAAGAGTTTACTGAAATCCTCAGTGGTCTTGACGGTCCCGCTGCTGACACTGTCACCTCCATCAACGGCACAGCAGGTCCTATGTGTCTCCCCACTAGCCCCACGTCTCCTGCAAGTCCGACGCTCAACACAGGTCCTACACATCGTCATCTTAACCAGGGTCGAAACCGTTATTCGCCTACCAACAACCGGACTGGGAACAATGGACAGGAGGCTATGAAGCCTACCCATCGGAAGGTACCACCGTACAACTGCGACCGCTGCGGCAAAAACTACACCCATAACTCCACCGATTGCAAGCAGTGCACCAAGTGCATGAAGATGGGGCATTTCGCAGAGGATTGTCGAATTCCAAGGAAAGCAAATAACCAGAAGAACCAGGGTTCAGGTATGAAATGAAATGAACTGATAACTTATATTGATAACAACACTGACGGAGGAGATCAAAGACCGTCGGTCTAACAAATGTACCAATTTGCTGTTTCCAACACCACAGGTCCATTCTCGAAGCCCCAGCACTCCGGATGAAATTCAGGACGATAATGGTAAAGATGGCAGCGGTGACAAAAAAAGGCGGAGCGGATTTTTTTCCTAGCAATTGCTTTTGCATATTTTCCCATTTATTTTAATTTTTTCCAATAAATACGCAGCTTGAGCAAAGACAATATTGCTGCTGACTTTAATGTCGCCGTATCGATGTATAGTATGGTCAGTATGAGTAAATCTTGAATGATATTTCATGTAGCTCTATCAGCGAGGACAAAGATACACTAGGGAAATCGTGATAAAGGCCTCTAGTTCACGAATAAGAATCGAAGATCCTCAGGAGTGAGACGAGCAAGAGCTGAAGGATCCTTGCCGATTGTGCTATCGACCATTGCCTGCTTCTTCTCCTGCAGCTGCAAGATTCTGCTTTCAATCGAGTTCTCAATAATCAAACGAGTGATTAGGATTGGTCGATACTGTCCAATACGATGGATGCGATCCATAGCTTGCAGTTCTATTCATTACGCCGAGATCAGGATATGTTAGGTAAAAAAAAAAAAAAGAAGAAAGATAGAAAGGGTGCATGACGTACCTGCAGCAGGATTCCACCATGGGTCGCAGATAAAAACACGACTGGCTGCCGTTAAATTCAAGGCAACGCCTCCGGCTTTCAAGGAGATTAGGAATACGGTGACCGTCGGATCGTCCGAAAACTTTGCAATTGAGGCAGCACGCTGCGCCGGCGTCATGTGTCCGTCTAGCTTGACACACTGCAGACCGGTACACAGGCAAAAAGAAAACAAGCTTAGTCTTCATCAAATGCCATATTGCTTAGACAAATCGAAATGCAAATAGTAACCATACCTTAAAGCCAGCCTTCTCCAAGCGCCATTTGATCAGATCCAGGAAAGTCACGTACTGAGAGAAGCAGATACTCCTATTCATGAAACGTAAAATGGAAACAGTTAAAATAATAGTCCTTGTTGCCTATCAGGAATCATAAGAAACGCGAAACGAACGGATGCGTACTTTATAGACCGATCTTCACGCTGAAGATTATAAAGTTGCTCAACAAGAGCCTCAATTTTAGTGGAGCTTCGCCACTTATCCATGTTGATGCGGTTCACGATCGATGTTCTTGCAAAGTTTCGATGGGCGACTTCGTTATCCCCGTTCACATCCTCGCTGACATAGGTGGGCTGCTGAAGGTCAATGTCTAGCCCAATATGACAGACAGGGCACTCCGGTGCCTTCACGGAGGACGTTGTAATGTATTGCTCGGCATCCTCGCGACAGAATAGATGATGACACTTGCTCACAATCGGATCTTCAGCCTATATTGTTGGTACAAATAATCATGTTAGCAAGTCCATATATCTTCTGAAACATTAAAATACCGTTGGGACTCTTACCTCTTCATGACAGATGGAACACACAAGAGTCTCTGGAAGACCAATTTCACCCGGCTTGTACTTCTTGAGCACCATATCCGGATGGTCGACCATTTGTCGCATTTTTGTCAGAAGCTCAAAGATATTGGCGTAGTTATTTAGCACCGTGCCCTGCGCAACGTAGGTCGAGAACTTCCGCTTTGTGTCCGTAAAAAGAGACTCGTACAAATCCTCCTCTTCTTCATTAAAAAGATAACGACTGACAGTCATCTTCCTTGGAGGGAGACCCAGGTCGTCTGCTCTCTCAACTTTGGTTCTTCGTAGCATGATGCGATCAAGCAGCTTCCGAAGCTTTTTAAAGGCAATTTCTCCTGGCCCCTGTGTGCCATGGTTCTGGATAGGCTTCAGTACTTCGTTATTCCACCAACAACAGTGGCTGCACGATTCATCGGCCAAAAATGGAGAAAAAGAATGGTTAGATGCGCTCAAAAGAGTCGCATACCCAAGAAAGGCGCCTCAACTAACGTCTTAAATAAACTTACTCCATCGGTCTGTGTCCGCAGTCGTCGCAGTTTTTCAGGTTGCTGTACTTCCAGTGAAGCGACTTGCATGGACACTTTTTGCAAAAGTAGTATCTATAACATCAGCATATAAGCGGTCAGACCGAGGATCTGCAACTCCCCACCATGGAACATTGCGCGAGCACAATCTTATCAATGCACCTACCCATACGGATCAGCCTGCATAAAGCGAATGAGAGAGTACAACTCTCCCACGCGGTTCTGCATAGGCGTGCCTGACAAGGACCACTTTCTATCTGATTGGAGAGCAAACTAAATACACAGTGTACGAATCAGTTAAGAGTTTCCCATCGCAAATACCAGAGACAAAGTCGTAAAATAAGAAATATATGGAAGACATACAGCCGATTTCGCAGTATTGCATGACCGTTCCTTGATGTTGTGGGCCTCATCAAGGATAATACGATGCCAGTTGATGCGGTGCAGCAATGAATCCTCCTTGATTGTCATGCCCCCACGCTTGACTCCATATTTTTGTTTCCTGTATCCGGACTCAATAATTGAGTCTATGCGTAACAAGAGTAAGAATAATTTGGTTAACAAAAGATATATACAAATAAAGAAAGATTTTGACGATACCGATGTTCAAAGGAATAAGTGACCTACAGGTTGTCACGACTACGTCGTGTTTCATGAGCTCCTTCATACTTTCAGTACGGTTATTGCCATGAAAGACAAGAACGCTCAACGATGGCGCATGGTCCTTGATCTCGCTCATCCACTGCATGATAGCAACTGTGGGTGCTACAATCAAATTTGGCTTGCCAGGCTCTGTCAATAACAGCGATATCATTTGAATGGTCTTTCCCATACCCATCTCGTCCTATAGACCATGAGTTTGAAATAAAATGGTTAATAGACCCATTCTGCGAGCAATCACCACACAGTGCAGCAAAGAATTTAACTTACAGCGAGGATTCCTCCCTTAAACTATGATCGGATAAAATTATAAAGTCGAGTTAGGCAAAACAAGAGTCCGGGACACTGATAATAAGGTCATGAACTCGACCGACAACGCATACCAGAGTATTTTCTTGTTTTCGCATCCATCCCAAACCTTCTCTCTGGAAGGGAAGCAGCTTCAACTTGAGGCCCTCAGGTTGCTCGGCTGCCTCTGGTACATGCACGGTGACTTTATCAAGATCATCCCAGACATGAGCAAGTTCCGGATGGTGCTCAAGCAGCTGCTTGTTAATCCTTTCCACCTAGGTCGCAAATGGTAATGAAACATTTTAGCGGTCAAAATAAAAAAAGGAAAAAAAGGAAAAAAAGGAAAAAAAAAAAAAAAAAAAAAAAAAAAGTAAGCGTATGAACAAGCTATCAAGGAGAAATACTTACCCAACTGACAACAGGCCTCGGTTCACGGCGCGCCCTTGCTCGACGTGGGGCTGAAGCTGGAACATCTGATTCCGAGGAACTTTCGCTTGAATCAGATTCGTCCTCAACAGACAACTCGTTTTCGGATCCTTGAAAATCACCATCGTTATCGTCTTCGTCGTCACTCTCTTCCTTCTTGATCGGAGTAGGTACTGCAGACGCAGTGCGGAGTGGTCTGATTCTCAGAGGCCTTGACGAAGACGACGGCGTCGAGGCAGCAGAGGCTGTTCTAGAGATAGACGAAGCCGATGCAGCATTACTTCGTCGTCGAGATGTTATGGTCGCAACGGGTTCAGGCTTGGAAGAACTCTCAGAAGATACTCCGTCGATGTTCGATTCATCCTCGTCATCTGAGGGACGCTCGGTCTTCAATCTCCGATTCGATGTCATGGAGCTTGAACTTCTTGTGCGCTTGAGGGCACAGGGACCCTCAGTCGATCTGGATGAGGCTGAAACCTCGACCTTGCGTCGCTTGCCTAGGGCTACGGCGCTTGGTGTGATAACCTTCGAGGGTAGGAAGTCATCCTCGTCATCCTCGTCCTCCTCTTTGTCGACACTATTATCGTCGCCGTCGCTGTTGATGTCCAATTTTTGTAGGGAGATGCTGGTGTTGGGACTCGAGGCTTCGGACTGGATGCGGCTGGCCTCGTTCGATCCTGAGAAGTCGGGGGTGGTGACAGACGAGGTTGGGGATGAGGCATTAGACCGACTCCGCAGTGACGCACGGGTAGCCCTGGCAGGAGCAGCGGAAGCCGAGGTGGACTTTTTGGGAGGCATAGGGCTAGGACTGAGTGAGGAATGAGGAGTGAGGGGAAGGCTGATCAGATGTCGAATGAGGCCGACGATGGGGAATCTTGGAGGGTCAACTGAGAGAGAGGGGACAGAGGGAAGGGCGCAGGACTGAGAGGGAGGGAGGGGGAGGGAGGGAGAGAGAGAGAAGAAAAGAGAGAGAGAGGGGGGGAGAGTGGTCCGTTTTTCGATACGATACCGGCTATGATTTTGGTGGCGCGATTCGTCAAAACCTTAAGAGGGCAGGAACCCCTTGTGCTTAGGCTTATCCTCAAACTGCGCTTCGGCGGAATATGAAGCGGACAGACGGACGAATGAACAAATGGACGCCGCTGCGGCCAATCATTTGTGACTTCCTTCCGTGCGCTCTCTTCTCTTGACGTGTTTGGGCCCTGGACGCGGTCTCTTATGCAGGCAGATCTCCTCCGCTCTCTTCGCCATGCACCATGCAGCCCATAGCCACGTAACTAATCCCGCCCACAGCAACGCCGACGCCATGGACATAGATCAGGTCGAACCGCTCGACAGCGCCATGGAAGCCAACTTCAACGGGATCCCACCCACGAAAAGCGCCTCCTGGCAGGCTCACTCAAGCCCTGTCGCTATCCCAGAGATCCTTACCTTAACCCTCGCGCACCTCGACAGGAAAAGCCTTGTCGCCACCACAACTGTTGCTCGCGTCTGGAGCGAAAGCGCCATCCCGCTGCTATGGAGATCCCTCCTGCGCCCACCCCTCACACCCGCATTCTTTAGCCTCCTCGCCAAGAATGGGCATCATGTTCAGCACCTGGACCTCGTCCTCAATACCGAAAACGAGACTTATGCAGTCGTCCCCATGGAGCTCACTCGAATTCTCAAGGTCACTCCGCGGATCAAGAGCCTAGTGTTGCAGCTCTCACATGGTGCTCCCCCCGAAACCATCTCCTCGTTGCTCCGAGTTATTACTGCTTTCGCCGCGAGTTTGAACGAGCTGGCCCTTGGGATTGGCGAGATGAACAGCGAGGACGCGACTGAGTTCTTTTCATCACTCACATCCATCAAGAAATTAGAACTCATTCGCTTTGCAAGCTCCGATGCCCTACGGGCGATTGCAGAGGCGCAGCGCAAACACCCAACAGGACTCTATCACTTCGGCACAACATCAAGACTGACGGCGGGCACCCCACCAGGTGCGGCAACGATCAACACGCAAATGCTCCTCTTTGACGATGCATCACTCAGCTCTCTCGCCTCCAGAGTACCCGGCCTTAAGGAGGTGAGCGTCGTCAACAATATCACCCTTACCGCAACAGGACTTGTTGATCTCGCCAGTCACTGCAAGGGTCTGACACGTCTACGCCTCGACTGTTGCATGACCATCGCTCCTGTTGGCTTCGAATACTTGTTCGAGGCGTGCACATCGCTGAAAGAGGTTCGACTTGGTCATACGCAGGTGCAAGACGACGCCCTCGTCGCGCTCTCCACACCCGCGTCCCGAGCTGCCAACCTTCAAATCTTATGTGTGTCGCGCTGTCGTAACGTGACAAGCTTCGGGATTCGGAACATTGTCGAGTTTTGCGACAATTTAGTAGAACTGGACATCAGCTTGTGCTCGACTGTGTCGTTAGATGTCTTTGAGGATCCAGCTTGGACGTGCTCACAACTCGAAATACTCAAAATGGACTTCACGTTCCGGAACAGACCACCCGTAACCAACAATTCTCAGGCACTGCAGGAACAACCTCAGGTATCTGGCGCCATGATGGTGGAACTGACGGCTATGTACCGCCAGATCGGAAGACTCGCGCGGCTAAAGGAACTACACATGGGTGGAACGACGTTTGATCTCAAGCTGTTTGAATTCGGTCGTAAAGGTCTAGAGGCACTCGCGAGGTTGAAGGTCTTGAAGTTACGAAACATGTTCACGACGCTGTCGAACAAGGAGATCATCTGGCTGACAACGCGCTTTCCTAGTCTACGCAAGTTGGAGATGGACAAGGGCGCTGTGAACCCAAGCTTCCTGAAGGACCTCGAGGATATTAACGGACAGATCGAAGTTGTGCTTATCGACAGGTACACAGACATCGAAGCTTTCATCGACCACATGCAACATGGTCCAGCATCAGTACAGGAAGCTATGGAAGAGGAAGGGGAAGGGTTAGATTTGGCAGCTCCTCCCTTGGCTACGGATTCCGACTCAGACGATGAGCCGCAAAATAATGGCACCTGGGGTAACAACTGGAACACTATGGATACGGACGATGAGAGTATTCACACTAATTCAACTATGTCGATGGCCCAGCACGATGCACACCACGATATCGACAGTAGCTTCAGTGACGACTCTAGCGACCACAATGAGAATCACAGCAGCCATTATGACGATGACGATAGCAGCGATGGCGAGGACCCGCACTCTATTGATCGCCATTATTCGAGTTCTCCTCCTCTAGTCCAATCGTATTCGGACTCTGAAGACGACGAGGAGCGCGAGTACCAACGACTGCTACGTGAGGAAGAGGAGGAGGAGAAGCGCGAGATGGATTTGCAGCAGCGCGAAGACGAGGAAGAGGAGCGGCTTTACGAACAAAGGTTAAGGGAGATGGAAGAGGAGGAAGAGCTGGAATATCAACGAATGCTCCGCGAAGAGGAAGAAGAATTGGAGCGTGACTACCAAAGATTTCTACGCGAAGAGGAAGAAGCAGAGGGGGAAGAGGAAGAGGAGGAAGCAGAGGAGGAAGAGGAAGAGGAGGAAACAGAGGAGGAAGAGGAGGAAACAGAGGAGGAAACAGAGGAGGAAACAGAGGAGGAAGAGGAAGAAGCAGAGGAGGAAGAACGAAAGCGCTTACATTGGAAAGATAGAGCCGAGGTGGAGAAGGTGGAGGAACGAGAACGCTTGGAGAAAGAAGCCGAACCGGAAGATGAGGATGAAGATGCGGACGACTGCGACAGACCACTTCAAAAGAAACCGGAAAGTGTATTCTCGGTCAGCGGAGTGGTCTTTACAACCTCTGATTTCACGGACGAATATGATTCTGAATCAGACCGCTATGGAAGTAGAAGTCAGAGCAACAGTGTCATGGACGAGCGAAGCGATAGCGATTCTGGTGAGTACAGAAATCAGACCTCTGCGATCGATTCGGATGTTGCAAGCCATTACAGCGACGAAGAAAGCGGTATCTCCAGCGACGCATATGATCCCTACGATGACGGCCCCCGGACCAATGCCATTAGTGACAACGATGACGATGAAAGTGATAGTTACGACTCTGACTATTGAAGGTACCACTCATCTTCTTGGCCATGTGCATATTAAGCGTCCACACACCTCTTCCCAACGACACTACATATCGCATCCTCATTGCATCGAACAATGAATTGTACATTCAAAAACAAATGACTTTATTACTGTCGCCTTTGATGTGATGTACACTTTGAGACAATCATTTGCATCCTTAAAACAGCTCCTGCACACAGCCGTATTTGTGGAGGTATGGTGACAAAAAGAGGATAAACTGCCTATGATGCGACAGAGGCCGCATGTTGTTGGTGCTGCTGTTGCTGTTGCGCCTGCTGTCCTTGTGGCTCCTTGCTTCGGCTGATCAGCTTGCGGACATAAGCTCCAACCGGCGTATGTCCTTCCGTACTAATGCACACCATCCGCCTCTTCGTGTTTGACCAGAGTACGACACCAAGTTCGCTTGCATACTCAAGCGTGCTCTCAAAGTCTTGCTGCCTACTGAAACTGGAGTACAGCCATGATGCCTGAGGGCGAAGTCGATTCTTTTCAATCTCCCAAAGTCGGATCTGATCAACGACTGTCAATGGCAAAATCGGGGTGTGTTTCCGCATTTGAGCGTGAGCATGTGCGGTGAGATAGGTGATGATTTGTTCCGCTGTGATGCCCTTGGATAGGGCCCGTCGGATGCTATCGCGGGTGATGACTCCTGTTACCATGTTGGGGAATCGGTCCCGAAGATGGACAAACAGGTTCAACACAGCGATTTGCAGTGGCGAATCTAAATAGACAAATTTAGAGGTTTCGATTAATTAAATCTCAACCGCTTAAGCAATCGTCTTTACAAGAGGTGTCCCAGAACTTACCAGTATAGGCGTAGATCCTATAGTTGGTTTCCAGTACAATAAACCCATGATCATCCTCCTCCTCATCTTCGCCCTTCCTTGCTGCTGCTGCCGCGAGTTTGGTGGCGTTCGTGTGTGATCCCAGCATAACGGGTGTTCCGGAGGTCAATGTTGTTGCCAACCTCGTTGGATAAAACCGCCGACTGCCCCTCTTTCGCTGGTATACGATTCCATATGCCTTCAAATCCTCCAGCAGATGTGTCTGTGTCGGCGTCAATGTCTCAGATGAGTAATCATTCCCCAGCTCCAGTGATCCAAGTTGGAAAAAGAACGTCAAGACTTCGACTAGATCCATGTTCAAACTCTCTGCCATGTTCAGATACTGGAGCAAGAAGGCCCATACTTGGGTGTTGATGTCCTGCAGCAGGAATTGGAATCCCTTGTGTGTGATTTTAGGTACGCCGAAATCCTGACGAGCCATCTGGCTGGCAAAATCCCGTGCGTCCATACTGTCGCCATGCGCACTATCAGAGCCTCCAGTCATGAGTCCACTTCGACCCAGCAGATTTAAAACACCTTTGCAGGGTGGTCGGCCTTCTGTTGTCCCGACCATGAAATGCAAAATGGCTTCCCATTGTTTGGTAGCGTAGTCGTCCAGAAAGGCAATGTCAACATGATGCTTGTCCGGTGTCGAGGTCGCCAATCCAAAGCTCTGTGAATCCCCCCTATGTGTTTATCGGCAAAAGAGCATCGCATATTAGTATGGATGCAGTCGAGTAAAAAACAATGGCTCGGCATCCATGGGGACCCACCCTCCTGTCAAGGCGTTCCTGAATTGCTCCAGGAATGTAGCGTTCATCGTGTAGTTCCCTCGCTCTTCTGAAAAAATATTGAGTGCCTTGAGTCGCTGCATCGCTTCCTTGTGCTTACTATGCGTCAAATGTAAAGTGTCTTTCAGTACCACAAAAATCCCTTCCAATCGATATCAAGAGTACGATTCACTGATACATGGATCAGACTAAACACTCACAGCAGTCCTGAACTTCCTTTGAACCATAGCTTCATATCCGCAACGGAAATCGGTGTATCGACATAGAGACTGGACATGACAATCTGTTTTCCGAGTGGTGGCAAAAGCCTACAAATTACATGAGACAAAGTGAGACCCTGTTCATACACAAGTTCCTGGTCTTGCAGAGAGCAACTGGCAGCTCAGAAGTCATGCACGATAGAAAAATCCATACCGAAAAATGGCTAGACATGTTGCCGGCTTCTGATAGAGTCGATTGAAAGTCTGTAGCGGTAGTGTCTCCAAGTACTCGTGAATAGATGTTTGGAACTTTGACATTGCTAGCCACGATCAGATTGATGTCTCGGTTTATGTTGCTGAAATGGGGTTTATATTGCGATTGGCGAATGCTGGTGACTCCTGGTGCTAGTTCTGTATTATGGTGCGTACTGCTGTTTCTCGGACTCCAGAAAAGAACAATAGAAGACAAGCGATGCATGGGTTGATGCTCAGCTCTTTTACCCCTCGGTCGCTAGATCCGTCACATGACTCCGCTGTACAGTACATGTTCTTTTTTTTTTTATTACAGAAGGACACTCAATTGATGAAATTGTAGTGGTGAAATATTGTACAAATGATGGCGACTGCGATAATTCAGATGCTCCTCTGAGAGTCGTGTCTCTTCACGATAAATTTTGCTGCGCCAATGCCGGTTCTGCTTCGGGCTCCATCCTGAGTTTCTTCCGCTTATTCTGGATCGGACGAGTCTTCCATGTAGATGTCCGCGTAGATGGGCCTGATAAAAGCGAGAATACAACACAAATCAATTGCTTTTGTCTGCAAGTGCAACATTCATAAGCAAAAATTATAAGCAATAGCTCGCATATCGCATACCTTGCTCCCAACGCAGACCAAGTCTCAATAAATCGCGTCGCAGCATCGTGATGCTGACTTCGAGCCCATAGTCAGTCTTGAGTGCCTGCTGGATTCTTGTCGCCGAAGCCGGTTCACGCAAGCGGTTCATGCGCTCGACGACTTCCCGGACCTTCTTTCCGTATTCATCATCCAGCACCTTGGGCTTTCTCCCGACTCGAGAGACATTTTCGATAGGAATGTGGCCATTCTTCGAGAACTTAATCGCCTTTTGCGCCGTGCTGAATCCCACGCCTGTCAAATTTGAGAGTTGATCCCGAAGTGAGCTCCCGAATTTCGACCGTACGTCTGAGGGGAGGGTCAGCATTTGTCGGTAGACATGAATCAGGATCGAATATTCGTTCCGGCGCAGCTCGCCCTGGTCGCGCTTGACGTTGTCTTTTTCGGGTGGGTTGGGGTTATTGGGGTCAACGGGTACTTGTTTAGCATGTGCAGTGGGGGGACTCTTTTGTTGGTGACGCTGGCGCTTGAATGGAGGAGCTGTAGGTGCGGTGGTCGTAATATCTCCGATGTCGGTGATAGCAGCGGTAATGTCACTGGTGCCGGTGCTGGGCTCCTCGCTTTCTATACTAGGTAGTGTAACTGTGGTCATCTCAATATCGACGCCCTGTAGTGCAGCCATGGCTGCACCTATCGCTTCTGTAGTTGTCCGTGCCGTAGCATCGGCGAGTTCTTCTCTTGAGACCGGTACAGCGATTGTGCCTTGTGCAATGGTCGGTGTTGTAATCATGTCATGTAGAGTAGTTGTTGCCATGAGAGTGAGATCTCCTGCGACAGAGATAGGTATAACGCTCTCCTCTGCCATGATCGATTCGGTGGTGGTTTGTGCGGTGGTGGTTGAGATGTGAATTAGAGCGGGCTGTGTTGATCTCTAGCCTTTCACTTTTGAGTATGCGTCAGGTGCAGTGTGTTTCTCAATTTGGCGTACTCAATTGTGGAATGTTAATTTCTGGTGTAGAAATATGGCCACTAAATTTGTGCGAGCTTGGGACTCGCCAGAACGTTTACGCGCACGGCTTCTACAAGGAGCTTTATGAAAGACTCACGTTGTTTCATCAGGCATGGAGTAGATGCTTTTGAACCCTTCATATCGCTCGTCTCTAGTCTAGCACGCCAAGTCTTTCAAAGCTCTCTGAGCAATAAATAAAATGAGTTGCATAAAGTAACTTTTTATTTTCAGGGCGAAGCTCTTCTATGACTTTCTACATCCTTTGAAAACCATCCTTCAAACTTACAACTGAGATCGCATGGACAAGCGCAAAGAACCGCCGACTCTCGACATTTCACTTTTCAAACGCCAACGACCAGATGAGGCATCTCCATGGGAACGAGCCATCGCTCATAAAATGGCCTTCAAAAACCGCGAGGGTGCAGCACTTCAAACACCGACAAGAATCCTCCAGGGACAGACTGCGGAAGTCTATACCTGCCAGTTCAGCCCATCAGGACATCACATATCGTCTGCAGGAGCCGAAAAGAGCATTTGTAAGGTCTTCATTGTTTGCCCGCCACGCTGCACAGGGCTTCATTTGGGTAATTGGGCAATTGGGTTCGTTTTATTGGATTGTCTGTCAATTATTAGATTTATGGAACACTTTTGGCGGTAGTGACAACTGTGGCATTATCCGAGGACACATTGGAGCCATTCATGAACTTCGGTGGTCCAGAGATGCGAGGTATGGAGTGCAACAGCTGTACTCTAAACATCCTCGACAAAACAACTGGTCAATAACTTCTTTTCTTTTTTTTGCTCCGTCAGTATGGTGTTCACAGCCAGTGCAGACAGAACTTGCGGTGTCTTTGACGCACAGACAGGCCAGCGGATCAAAAACTGCAAAGGCCACACTTCAGCCGTCAGCAGCTGCTCATTAGCAAGGAATGGACCAGAGCTCATGGCCAGTGGATCTGATGACGGCTCAGTCAAGGTATGGTGTCCCAACGGCTGTACTGTATGCGGAGACAACCATGTCAATTAACGAAGAAATCGGGAGCTGATCATTCTTTCATTTCTCAACGTTTCTGCTTCAGATATGGGATCTCCGTACACCGAGTGCAGTAGAAAGTCTGGATGCGGAATATTCGATCACCTCCGTGTGCTTCTCACAATCGAGCGATGTCGTGTTCGCCGCAGGCAACAACTGCTGCATCATAGCATTAGACTTACGGATGAGGAGAGCGCTTTACGCGCTTTCTGGGCACTCGGATACTGTCACAGGCGTCCGTCTCTCGCCCGATGGCACGCGGCTCCTGTCCAATTCCATGGACAACATTGTACGCATATGGGATGTGAGGCATACATCGACTGTCGAGAATCGGTTGCAGCACAGTCTGCAAGGTGCGCAGCACGGGTTGGATGCTCACTTGGTCCGGCCAGCATGGTCGAAAGACGGCTCCATGATTGGAACCGGTTCAGGCGATGGATCTGTAATTGTTTGGAATATCGATACGCAACAGATAACATGCAGACGCTCCGCTCATACAGCCAGTGCGAACGAAATAGACTTTCATCCTTTAGAGCCGATCGGTAAGTGGCAGATTTATTTCTTTAACACGTTCCTCTTGACACCCTTTTCTGACATGAGCCCCTAATCTGCCCTACACATCATTGTCGAACAGTCGTTTCGTGTAGCTCTGATAAGAGCATGGTCCTCGGCGAGATCAACTCTGGCTAATAAAGAGCGTGAGGCGAAACTTCATCCATTGCAAATCTCACACCTATAGAAATGAGCTGGCATCATTCAGTTACAGTCCTGAGCAGCTTGATTGCTGCCTATCACTATCTACCGGTTTGGCCAAATCTAGAGTATAGAACTGAGTGCTGGTTTTGTCAAAGTGCTTTTTGGTGATGACGACCCCGCTCTGTACATAGAGTCCTGTCAGAGGTCGACTGTAGGCTAAAGCCTCGACCGATATAGGAAATGACCATGGACTCGCTGCCGGCACGGAGTGTATTGTTGATACTGTTGGAGCTGCGGCCGCTGTTATCCAAGTCGATTGACCATGGGCTGACTAGATAAAATCGCCTACGGGGATGATTGATCGGAGAGCGAGGAGAAGTAACAACTATAAGCTCAATTTTGGTGTTTCCATCCATGGGTTATTCAATACTGCATAGCGACTAAGCGCTGCCGCCATATTCAGCTCCTGGAGCCGCTTCAATTTATTCACTGCGTCCTGAAAATGCGCAGGCAGTGCAGGCGAGCAAAGGGACGAGAGGGACGAGAGGGACGACAACGGGGAAAAAGAGAAAAAGAAAAGATGTTGACGAAACCTTCGTGGGCGTAGTACCATTAAGCGGCTACCATAGCGCGGCCTAGAAGGATGTCGTTATTTTGCAAGCTACCCCTCTGGTCCTAAGATGTGTATTTTGATAACTACCTCCTTTCACATGTATGTAGCATGCAGGAAACGTCTTAGATGGATATTAAAATGCAGCACGCCTATGGAGCGCAGCTGCTCATGGAGAAACTAACGATGTTGTCGAGATAGGTCCCTGAATACAGCGAAATATACGACCATCTAGAGCAAGAATTGCTTAGTGTGTGGCGCGGAATGATAGTCTAGCGTCAAGCTTCTCTTAACAAACAATACTCGTCTAGCCTATACATCAATTGCTGTGGGGGATATCCTAACAAGTCCAAAGAAACGATCGGCACATGGTCCCAATTAGCCCTAAACCGTTAGAGTTTTCGGTGCCTGTGCGCTGTAAGGCTGCTCCTTAAATACTGGGTCGCTTTCTAATGGACAGTAAGAAGATGGCGCTGTGTGAATGATCCTATTCTTTCAACGCGAGACTCATTCTCCCCCCTGGCAAAGGAGAAACGCATAGCAAGAAGTAAAATATAAGTCGAACGAACACGCGTTGCCACCAATTTTTGATTCAATTGCACAATTACTCCGACTGACTGGCATCTCCTGAAGTATGCATAATAGTAAGTACCAGGCCAATGGTCAAGCACACCTTGGACTATGCAAGACCCATTGCACTCACGCACACGTTGCTTTTCCTGCAGATAAACCACCACGGCAATTGCTCTCTCATGGCTGGGTCACGCACTGGTCTATGGTGTGCAGAAGAAGGCCATTCTGTTTTGTCATTCCTTTTTGCCCACATGGCCCATTCCTTTGGCCCCTTTTATGCTTTCATGAACAGGAACCATCCAAGAAAGGGGTAGGGGTAGGAGGTAGGGGTGCAGATGTTTAAAGTCAAGGGGGACGCACCCGACTGGACTGATTCCTTTCTTTTATTCCACTTTCACTCCTTTGACGATTTGTCCCTCTCATTACCATTCCTTTAGCCGTTCTCCACATACGCTTATGCTACATACTACATAGCTCAACCCATTGGCCCTCCCTGTACCCTCGCAAATCGTATATTTTACTGACTGAACACTCAACGACCAACTTCACACCTCTATTTCTTCACACAATCCATTGGGTCCTTACCACTTCATATCATATATCAACCTTCTTTCAACCCTCTCTCCTCATTCTAATATCCTCTTCAAATACTATCATCACGCTTTCACACTCCACTCATGTCAAATTTAAAGACCATCCTCGACCGCCTTGTTAAAGAGAATCTCCACGGTCCCATCAATCGTGGAGCTCAAGAAGGACTCAAGCACAACGCACACAAAGAAGCTCAGGAATCACATGCCGAAACTGCAGGGGAAAATGACATGGACGCGCATGATCCACGGTGGCGACAACTCTTTCACGAGTTCTTCTTATCAGAGCATTCGGATGACCGGAACGACGATTTGCTGTTCTTTGTGCAGAGGGTATCTATGGAAGTCCAGAACGGAGGGCTGGGCGTCGATCCTGTCTTTGTAAAGCGGAAGGTCAAAGGCGGTGGTTATGATAATTCAGTAGGGGGACACAATATCCTGGCGCCGGAGCAGGAGGCAGTGGTGCTGTGGAAGGACACGTTCTTTTTGAACGTCATTGTGCAGGTGAGGAGATGCATGACATCGCAAGGCCGCCTTGAGAAAGAGCTCTATACAATGGGCTGCCTAGTGCAAACTAAGGCTTGATTCTGACATCGTGCACGTTCTATTCCCTATTCATTTGACAAATCTAGTTGCCGTGCAAATTGACAGTGGCAGTATGTTCACGAGTAGCAGAGACGAACCCGATTACCGGCATTACAAAAACTAGCATGACCTGCACACGAAAATACGTATCGAAACGAGTGTATGCATTACCGACGAAATCCCGCGTCGATGTCAAGGAGGCCACAGTGGAGTGCTCCTGGCCATTGATCTACTATGTCATTGATGATTATGAAGATACTTTTGAGCAGCTCATGGTTCGGGATAGCGAGTACCTCTGTGTCGAGTTGGCAGTGACGCTCCCCACATCTACAGCGAAAACGATCACACCAGGGCTACCTTCAAACACACAGCAATATCATCAGCGGTCAAGAGCATATCATCAGGAGTCTCATTGGAGTCAGCCACCAGGCAATGATGGGTTGCAGGTCGGGAAACCGTTTCCGGCTACGTCTGGTCGAGGAGGTGTAGGAGGAGCTGGCGGTAACAAAATTACGTTGTTCCAAGGAGCTGCAGGATATCAGAATCTTCTGGGGATCTACCAGCAAAAGGCTGCTTCCAAAGTCGGGAGGAGGTTCAAGTTTGGTCCGCACACGGTTCCGACTGAATTTGTGATGATGCGAGGACCTGGAGGTCGTGGACATGCCCAGGTATGCGATTTGACATATTCTCCGCTTTACTTTTTGACACTTTGTACTGCCAGTCTTTCGCATTCATAATATCTAACGCATGTCATTGTGAACTAAATGCATATAGGTGGCGATCACCGCGTCGAATGTAAGGGATGATCCGCTACTCAGCTATTCCGACACCGGAAGTCCTCCCATTTCGACACCCAGTTCACCTGTCAGAGATTCCAGGGCCACTCGGCTGACCACAGGAAAGAATTTGCCTCCCAACCCGGGTACAGATTCCAACGGTCATGCAAACGGACACCCCAATGGCAATCGACACGAGAAAGTCGGGATCAATACCATATCACTGCCTCCTCCTTCATCACCCAGTCCGAAACAACCATCATCTCCTATTCCAAGTTCGCCTGCAAAGTCTTTCTCAGCTGGATCCTTCTTCCAATCCTTGCGCCGGATTTCGTTGGCGACCTTGGCACAGGCAGCTGCAGCACCAGACACGAGTTCTACGCATAACGGCGGCACCTCGAACGGCTCGCTGCCTCAGAGTCATGGGAGTGAACATCATCATAATGGTTCACCGGTCTCACCGGTTGCAGGAAAACGTCCGCCGATTTCAACTACGCCATCTTACAGGAGTGGAATCTCTCAGGAGGCAACAACAGGGGGCGTCAGCTCTTCGGGCGTGGGTTCGAGACAGGAAATTGAAGCCTTGGTGAATCAACCTCAAAGCCTGAGATGCTGCATGACGTTCGTGAACGTGCCCTGGACAGGGATCGCTGCCATGCTGATGGACTATGCGTATCATAGCAATAATTAAGTCTACCATACGAATGAACGTAGTTTTGATACCTTCCTGGCACTAGGTGGTGTATCACTTAAAAATGAAAATCTATTTTTTTATGGTTATTTATCTTAATCTACAAATGTGATAATATCTAAGCATCAGCCTGAAGCAATCGACTCCTCTGCATGCGCTTGTTTTTCTTTGTGCCATTGCTGCCTGTTTGGACCTCCAACTCGTCGGATGCCGCACTCTCTTCATCGATCTCGTCCAGCAGTCCAACTGTCTCCTGTCCTCCAGCGGCTCGCTCTGTCACCTCCACGTCTTCACCATATATCGCATCATCGTCTCCTCTCCGCAGAAGAACATCTCTCTCAATTCGAGACCGGCTCCACCCGACCATGAACATTAACCAGCCCACCACAACGAGCCACCAGGTACCGATGCCTGTCCAGATCACGCTTGGGCCATACAGCTCTGCGGTCATTAGTACTGAGCAGCACCTGAATACCCAGATACCAAAGATCAGGCACCGAATGTACCATGTCCGATGATAAGGCCTGAGGCGGTGCGGGTTCGAGGGCGAGTACAAGTAACCGGAGGGCGTGGCGCACAAGGTGAGGTAGTACAAAAAGATAACGAGGTCGTAGATTACCGTCCAGATGGCGCTCATCCATGTATCTGCCATGGGAATCCAAGTACCTGCTAGGCTATCATATCCAGATGATCCTTCAGTGGCAACCGACAGCCGTCCTCCTGTCACAGATGAAATCGCACCTGCGAGGACGCTCAACGGCCGATGAACCCTCTCAGGTCCTGCGGGGTCCAAACTTGCTGCGCCCAATCCGCCTCCCAGATGTCCACCGGCATTTGGTAGGTAAATTCCCTGCAAGTAGAAGTATCCCTGTCCTTGCTCTCCTGCAGCAGGAACAAAGTTGCCCCAGTAATGCGGAACCGTGACCAGCATCAGCGTAAAGATTAAAGTCGTGTAGAACAGCAGCGGTTGGGTCGAGAAGTGGACGAAGCGGAGGACATGCGCGTGGATCGTGTGGTTCACAAATCGGTTCCAGAATCGGTGGCCCGACGAACCGAAGGATAGGGTCGAGGAGAGGCGGTACAAGTGTCGACGCTTTCGATCCAGCCATGCATCATATCCATTCTTGAACTGTGCTTCGCCATGCGCACGGGTATACGCGGCAGACATGTCGGTGGCAGTTTTGGGATTTGACGGAATTGCTGGTGGCGGAGAGGTCTGAAGGTAAAGCGAGTAAAGCTTTGGCAGGATCAACAGAAGCAGGGCCACTGCAAGGTATCCTGTTGTGAAGAGCGCCTTCAGCTATAGTTCCCCAATGAGAGGTAAAGCAAACGTCAGCATCCTGAAAGGAATAAAATCACGATCACACGAGAGCACACTGAATCGTTCCATGAGTTACTTACCATCATCGCAATGTTGACCCACATAATCCACTCCGCAAACCCGCCCTTCATGTCGGATCGCTCTCCGTCGACTCTAAAGACAGTTCGGCTGCTTCCCACACGACCAAATCTGTCCACGATCTTGATCTCCATCTCGTGGTCCCCTCCATCGCTGAACACCTGTGGGTCCCACTCGGACACGTAAAGCGGGAGAAATTCCTCGTCCTCAGTCTTGTCCTCAGCCTTTGTTCCTGCAAAGCGCGCGGGTTTCTCATGCAGCTTCCCGTCGATCCTAATCTCAATCCTGATGTCCTTTCTCACATATTCATGTTCGCCATCAGGGACCTGATTATCAGTCCACGCCAGGAAACGAATATGAGTACTCGTTCCGATCCTGCCAACGGGCTCGTGCTTTGGAATCAGGTATCGAGAGTCCTTGGGGTTCGACACCACAATGATGGGGTTGGTGGGTAGCCTGGGACCTAATGCTGGCCGTTTCCTCTCCGTTTTCTCGCCACCTTCTTGCCCCTCTGGATCGGCCTCTCCTACTCCGCCTTCCACTTCCTGCTCCACCTCAAGGTTGGGCATGAGGGCCGATGGGATAGTCTTTGTGGACATGGGTACATCCGTGAATGAAATCATGTCGTGATCGACGACCATAATCCTGTAGATCCCGTTTTGCTTCATATCTCCGACCTCTAATTCCAGAAAGTGTGTTGGCTGATATGTTTGAAGTGCATCTCCCAAGCCTATAACACAATTAGATATACAGCACAAGATTAGGAGTCGGTAACATGTGCCAGTTGCTCCGAAATGTTAACTGCATATTTGTCTCTTACCCCACTTCAGCTTGTGTAAATGACCACACATATATACGCTGAATGACTTTGAAAGATCTGCAAAGCTCTCACCGAGAGAAGTCTCGCCAAACATCGTGGTCGTCACTGGGTAATGCGAGAACTACAGCAAAAAACAGAATGAAACACTTCTTAGTCATTTTTTGTGCATCACTGGCACAAACACCTGAATAACCCATGCACCTACCACAAAAGTATGATTGTTGCCCTTGCTCAGCTCTAGACGCCGCTTCAGATTGTCCATGTCCGGTGTCTCGAACAACCCAAAGAAGTTGTACGGCCTTGCCGGTCCCGGTTTGGGGCATGCGTCGATCCCAATAAAGCCATACTTGCCATAATCCGTTTTGACATCGAACATGAACCCTGGCGCCCTGGTCGCACTCATATCCTTAAACATGTTCTCCTTACTGTCCCAGCTGGGCACATCGAAGCAGTCGTGGTTACCTCGAAGGTCGTGCCAGTAGGATCCGTTCCGCTTTGTCAACACGCCGGACTCCTCGAGTGCGTCCCTGTAGGTGTTCCACTCATCCATGTACTGCATCGAGCCAACGAGATGCTTATCCTTCGCATCCGTGAGATCGCCTGTGACAACCACAAATGAGGGTTCGACGAGAGGCAGAGCCGTAGAGAGGAATGTATAGAAATTGGCGGTACTGGCTTTCCTAAACATGCTGATATGTAGATCAGACACCTATGTCGAAAAAGCAATTGGGCATGGTTATTAGAGTCGGACAAATGATCAAGCGAAGTATAGTGATCACAAGTTTTTACGTTCAGTGCATGCGGGAGTCATATCCACACACACCCCTCTTTCTTTTTTTTCTCTCCTCCTCGCATGAGGCCTTTGCGTTTCCATGCTAATTACCTGGACAAAGTAAAATATATTGTCCTTGCTGTCGCCGATAACAATGTTTTCCTGATTAGATGAAGTCGACTGCGGATCATTTGACGAACTGGACTCCTTGGAACTCCTTGCATGTTCCTTGGACCGGACCATGGATTGGTTGGCTACTGTGTCGAGGTGGATGGCATAAAGCCATGCGGAGATGACGAGGGCGAGGAAGGGTATAAAAGCGACTGCGGTTTTGACCCAGGAACGCTTCTGGGAAGCGACCGGCGAGCTGGAGCTGACGGCGGAGAAGGACCTCCGGGACATAGTGTAAGAGCTGCCTTTTCGGATACGTTAACGGCTCAGAGTAGAGTGGGATAAATAATGCTAGAGTGAGGGAAGAGGAGGGAGGATAAGGTCTATACGAGAAGGGAAGCGGAAGCAGTGAACTGAGCGAAGAAGAGAAAGTGTCAAGCTGCAGCAAAAAATAGCAATTGGAAGTTGGTGCAACGTGGCTTTTTGCTAGGGGGATAGGACACACAGAGGGCACCGCCGCTTTCATTGAGGAATCGCCCATCCCGCAGCAACCAACGATGTCATTCCTCGACTTTGACGACAAGAGCTCCAAGTCAAGCTCATTCCTCCTTTCGGAACTCGCTCCTCTACCGGATAAGGATTCAAAATCCTCCACCGATGCTGCTGACGCCCGGGATGCCGCCGATGAGGAGACTCTTCTTGCAGAATTCAAAAAGAACCCAGAGTCCGCCAAGCGTCTTGTTGAGAGCTATGTGAGCGCGGCCCAGGCCCCACGACAGACTATGACTCGGATCACACCCATTGCAGGACTTGTCATCCAAACAAAGACAGCGAAACAATGCCATAATGTGCCTATGGACAACCCCAAGTTGACGGCGTTTCCAAAGGACACGGATGTATTTATCAATATCTGTTATTCAGATCAGATGCCCAAGCCCACTGCTGCGAGCGAGGCAGAAATTAAGAAGGCGATCATCGCAGAGAAAGGAGCAGTTTACCAGGTACCATTTTCGATAAGTCAACCTCGAGAGTATAAGGACGCAGGTACAAGGCGCATGGACCTCGATCATGAATGCCATCTGAAAGGATGATGGATGCTTGAGTGTTTGACCTAACGACAAGAGTTTACTTACTTTATTATCAGTGTCAAAAAGCTACCTTGTGGTTGATGCCTGTATACACGCGGAGCCGTTTCAGAGGATCAGTACAGGAAATCCGGATTATGCGCTGTACATTTACGAGTTAGCGCTGGAATGGGTCGAAGAAAAGTGTCGTCTCGAACTCAGCAGAGGTAAAAGGGATTTGACCACTCAAGGAACAAGAGTAAAGATTAGACACGACGCTAATCTCAATTTGTTTTGTCACAATTAGATGTCAAGTTTCCGAGTATGAGGTCAAAGGACGAGCTAAAGGCGCGACCAGTTATCCTGCCTAAACCACCAGCGATCCAGGAAGTCGAGACTGGGAACAAATCAGCGGCAGCGGCAAAAGCAACGGATACGGCAGCCAAGTCAAAGCAAACAATGATACATGTCCCAGTGGCAGGCAAGGATGATTATATTCCCAAAAGTCGGCTCTTGCCATGCCCTAAGGGCACTCTGGGAATCATTGTCGAAGTCGACCTCCCCAGCCATGTAAGGGTCTTTTTCTTCCGCTTCAGACTGCTATGGTAATTACATGCTTGATGATGCTGAATAGCGTGCACTAACATCGGTCCATCTACCGAATAGAAAAATATGGACGGCGTTACGTTGGATGTGGTCCTGCCGGATAAACTAGTGCTGCACTCCAAGAGTCAAGGAAAGAGCGCGGATAATGGCAAGGAGTATCATCTAGAGGTGGAATTGCCGAACGAACCTGTGGATCTAGATGCGATCAAAGCCGAATTCAACAAGGCCAAGAGGACGCTACGTGTTTACACCATCAAACAGAAGCGGAAATAAAAGAAAAAAAAGGCCCAGTGCTGTTTTTCTATTGATATCATTTCTTTATTTTTGATACTAGTACAAGATGTGGTTGTAGATAGCGAGACTGAACAGATGTGTATAAACAATAAATACAAAGAGATCTTCCTTCGGAAGAGCTCCGATGGTCTTTTTAACTCCAAGCATGGGCAGCGACCTGGCTCCACATGACATCGCGTTTACGAGCGTTAGTGGAATCAAAAGCTAGGTGGAAATTGGCAGGGTACTGGGCAGCATCGTACTCCAGAGGCACATCGCTGCCGTTGGCATAAACCTCTAAGATAGGCAGACTAATATCACCCTTGTATGGCAAAGTACCGAAAGGGCTCGTCAAGTTAGTCAGGGCGTAGATCTTGTTAAGATCGCTCAAAGAGCTGACAGCACCGCCCGCAAACGAGTAAATCGAGAGATCCTCGCCATGATTTCCGCCGATGGAGTATGCGGTGACGTTGTTAAGTGTATGGAAGTAGTAGGAAGACAAGGCGCATGAAGATCCGCAGCGACCGTCGCTCAAGATACGGATGTTGTTTGCATTGTTCGTCCAGGGGAAAGTCGTGAGCTGCGGGATATCGGGCAAGGAACTAGGAGCCAAGGTTGTGGTGCCTGTAAACATAGCGCTGCGGCCGTTGCGAGTGAGATCAACGGTATTCAAGAAGAGACTGTCGCTCTGGTACAGGTCATTGGCCTGCAAGTCGAAGTACTGGGCGGCATTGTAGAGTCCTGCATCCGAGTTGTTGAAGACCGCAACACTGAGGTCCTGAATCAACTTGTTGACGCGGAGGTCGGAGCGGAGAGACTTGTCAAGGGGAGTCTTGTTGGGGAAGAACGCCTGGACAATGTAGGATGCAAAGCTAACCGATCCACCGCCGTTGCCCTGGAAGTCGATGATCAGCTTGGTCACGTTGCGGCGATGGAATTCCTCCAAAGCTGAAAGGGCTACATCCAACTCAGAGTTCTCGGCCTGGTGTGTGAAGACGACGATGACACCGACATCGGGATAGGTCTTGAGATGGTAATAGACAGTAGCATTGCCTTCTCCCAACTTATCAGCACCGGCAAAGCCTGGTGGAGGATTAGGCGAAGGGGTTGCATTCTGAATATCCAGCATAGCACTCTTTCTGGGGACCGGGAACAGGTGTCGCTTCATAGGAGGCACCATGAGCTCACGCTTTATGCTGTTGTTACCGCCTGTGGAGGCACTATAGCACACGTTGTTGACATAAGACCCCACGTCTGAGAAGGTAGCCTCGGTCAAAGTGAAGATAACCCACTGGTCGCGAACCTTGAGGGGTGTATTTGATTGGGCGCACTGTAGGTTGTATTCGATATAGGGATTTTCGGGCAGGGTCGCACGTTCGGCAAAATCACCGGACGAAAGAACGAACTGCCCAGAATTGTGGTTGTAGATCTGGTTGGCAAGGGCCTGGTTCAGACGGACGCCACCGTCCTTAGAGAAGCCGATGTTGTGGGTAGCCCATTTGTTCATGTAAGGCAGCGCATCCTGTCCGTCGATGGTCAAGACCTCGCAGTCCTCGTAGCCGCGCTTGGCAAGGTCAGTCAACACACGCAGGGACTGGAACGAACATGTCGAAGAGGTGAGACGGTGTCAGTGCGCATGCTCCTTTGTATTAATAGCGCAGACGGGCACAGCATCTGTTTTTTCCTTCTTTTTGGAGTTGAGTGTAACACAAAATGTCATGGCTTGCTCATTACCTGCTTGCCGTTGGTGACTGGCGCGTAGAGGTTGAGGGGCTGTGAAAAGAGATAGGCATTGTAGCAGTCGACTATAGAGATGAACAGAGATTGACAAATGCGGGTTAAGACTATCTCTGGTAGGAAGCATATCCTTGGTATCAATCACAAATGAGAAATGAGACATACCGTTGTATCCAGCGTGAGCATCGTGCAGTGTGTAGATCGCATCTGAGACGTCTCTGTGGAACTGGTAGTCGCTGGTGTACTTTGTTTGTCCAATTGTCTCCAGCTGCTCCACAATGTCCACAGGGGCGCTCAAGAATGGCTTCTGAAGGTCAGGGGTCAAAGCCGAGTCGCGGAAGACATAGTAATCGTTGAACAAGGCGTGGACGGAAGTGTAGGTTGCCTGAGCAACCTTCGGGTCATAAGGGATGGCCTTGTAGCAGGCACTAACATGGGCGTAGGTGATATCCGTGGCGTTCAGGTGACCGAGGATCGCACAGGGGTCGTTCGATACTGGTGCGGCTGTTGTGAACGTGGCAAGGGCAGCCAAGGAAGCCGCCAAGGCCAGACGACGAGGCGAGTGCGCAACCATTCTCGGTATTTTACTGTTGATGATGTGGGGAGAAGTGGTCTCCAACAGAGGAGGGTAGATGGAGATGGAGGAGGGAAAGGGGGTGTGCAAGAAGAGTTAACTTCGATCTGTTGAAGAGAGGACTGATGTGGAGAATGCCAGGGACAGGGGGATGGACCTGAAGTATTTATACCAATGACGCCTGGAATGCCTGACTAGCTAGAACCAGTATATGGATAGAGTACAAGATTTGGCTGGCTGTGTCATGGCTGTGATTCTTTTGTTTATGGAGTATCATCATGACAATTGGCTGAGTGTTCAACAGCAAATCCTGAAATCTATTCTCGTCCGCTTCCATACCTCCCCTGTGGTACAGCGACCATTCCTCCCAGTCGTTTCCTGTGTGGCGATGCACACTGGAAAGAATCCAGCCCACTGCTGCCCTTCACTTCTTACTCAGCCCATATGGTAGCCTTGCATATCTGATCTCTTTCTTATGTCCGCATGTTTTTTTATAGCGACGGAAAGTTGCTTCAATGACCCTGCATATTGCACTGCCCATTTGACCATCCGCAGTTGAACTCACAGTTGGACTATGGCTAGGGTATTTGCTCCCGAATGTATAGCGGAAAGAGCAGCTTGCGGGCTAACTCAAGACCCCCACTCTTCTGCCCTGCGCTTCAAGAAAAGATGACTAACCGAGCCACAAGCAAAGTACTTCAAGAATCCAGGACGAGTGCTGTCTACGATTTTTTTTAGCTTTCCGCTTCACCTTATGGATGTTTGGTATAGTCCATGGCACAGAATCCGATCGTCTTATAGATCCCCTGAGTATAGGGATTTCCAATCGTAATACTCTATTACAGCGCCCTAATCAGACAAATGAACTAACCTTTCACCTCGCGCGTTTCCTCTGTTTTCACTATCAGAGGATCATAGTAAACTGTGCCGCGCAAATACGTAAGCCTTATTGCTGCTTTTTCGTATCTCTCACGCGCAGTCAAATTATCATGTATGTCGCTTTATTCTCTATCTGCTCTTATTGCGTTGGTGGAGTGACATTGACTACCGAAACCCTATCCCGATCCGCGGAGAAGGATCTAGACACAGTGGCACCATACTACAGGCTGTTTTGCTGCGCAGATCTTTGTGGCAGTGTTGCCAGGCTGGGGGGACCTTGCAATCACAAGTTGCTGCCGTTACTACTGACCGTCATCCCAGACGTTGGTTGAATCGTGGTATCAATGCTATCGCTGCCTCCGGCAGACGCGTCGTGGGCTGAGTTGGTTGGAATGGGGTATCTTATATTGTCCGGGTGATAGACCTGTTGTGATGCGTTGATGATCGTAGGTGGAATTGCACTGGCCACTGGAGCACTGTAGTAATTGGAACTGTAGCCCGTACCGTTAGAGAAAGGCGTCGGATCAGTCGCAGCGTAGAGTGGCGCACTGTAACCATTGAATGCTTGGGTTGGTACTGGCGAGATAATGCCAGCAAAGTGATTAGAATTATGCGTCGCTGCAGTCATCGGGGGAATACTATGAACACGGTAGATATCGCTGTTCGGAGCCATCATGGATGAGTCCTGAGTTGGCGTGTATGGGGCCGGAGGGAAAACACCAAGAGGGGCCCCAGTGGCTGTCACGGGTATGTATGATGTCTGCGGGACGTAAACAATCGGTGTTGGCGGCTGTGCGGTGCCAAGCGCCGACGAGAACATAGGAGAGGGTATGGCCTCCTTACGACTCACACAATATTCCAGCTCTGAGTCGATAGGCGAAGAAAAGATGACTTGACCGGGTGGCCCCTGGGCAAAGCTTGAAGTATCCTGAGGATCGCGCAGAAATTGGACATGCTGTGGGTTCATTGACGCAGGGCCGTTCGAATATTGGGACTGCAATGTAGACGCTGGTTCGTCGGCCTTTTCCGAGCTTCCCGCGCTCTGCTGGTTCGAAGGGGGCCCATACCGGACTCTATCCTCTTTGCGCTTCAAGTACAGATAAATTAAGCCGGAGAGTGCTATCACGAGTAGGCCTCCGAACACGCCTCCGAGAATAGCTCCTAGATTGCTTGAGGACGATGAATCCTTTGACCCATCAGGGAGACTTGAGACCGCTCCTGTGGGTACTAGGCCACTGGTAGTGGCGGATATTGATGTGCTTAGGTAGTAGGCCGGGGCAGTGTAGGACTCGACCCATTTACGCAGACTCAAATCAAAGACCACAGGCGGACCCACGATGGTGCTACTGCCCCCACTTCCTCCCCATGCCACAAACTGGTTTCCAACAATTGTGCAGGCCATGTAAAGACGAACACCCCCATCAGGTCCCTGGCTCCATTTGCCTGTGGTAATATCTAATGTGTAAAATGTTCCCGTAAAGTTGGTCGGCGGATTGTGGGTTGTGTTGAGGTCGATCCTTCCACCGTACACAACCACCGTGTTTCCGTCTTCACTGGCGGTCATACAAAAGTCAGAGCGTGGAGAAGGCGGAGTACCAGAGGTTGTCTACGAGGCGCGGATGTGTGAATGTCAGCCAGCGGCCGTAGTCATTTCTTTTTTTTGTGACCTGACAAGAAACTTACAAAGTTCGACCATTGACCGGTACTGATTGTGTATTCTGTGACATATGTTGCCTGAGGATCGAATTTGATGGTACCGTTCAGACCACCAAAGTACATGATAGACCCTCTTGACTTGATGTAGGTAGCGCCAGAGAACAGCCTTGATGTGAACGTGGTCGTTGGCATATCTCTTAGTTCGATCGTCAGAGTACTAGGGTTGAAGATATCTAACTTTGTCCATGCAGCGATGTAGACCAGCCCTGTGGTCGGGTCAATGACTGGCCTGATGCCCTGGCGATAGTCCTGATCCGGTGTGAGGGCCAAGGGAGAAGCATCCCATGAGTTGGATGCGATGTGATATCGAGGGATAATGATGGTTCCGTTAACGCCATTAATGAATGTGATAAATGTCTGGTTATCGGGCGTCATGACCCCATTGAAAAGAGTCGTGCTTATCCCCGGCGAGAGTTGTTGCCAAGGAGCCGCATTGACGGACCAGTTGGTCGATAGGTCGAGCGCGAAGAGTTGAGCCGTGGTATTGATCGCGATGTCGTTCTGGCTGAATTTGCCGCCCTGAACATAGAGTTTGGGTCCACCGCGCGCAAAGGCAAATCCTTCCGAGGGAAGTGGTTGCTGTGCCTGTGCAACAAGGAGCAGCGATAGAAGAAAGGCGAATGGGAGGAGGAGGGAGGAGATCATGATGAGATGCGTCCTTGGAGATGATGGATGAACTCGTTGAGGATCTCTGCAAAGGAGTGGAGAGAAAGGAGAGAGAGGTACGTTCCTGTTCCCAGCTAGTCAAAGGGTAATATGTTTTATCAAAGCGAGGATGGGCGCAGGCGCTTCAGGGTACATGTTTACATGTGCTCTAAGGCAAAAAATTTGCAGCTCTGCCGATGGCTCTGGACTCTCGTCTGCGTCCTTCCATTCCACGCTACTCACCGGTAATTAGATGTGGCTCCCCTCACTCGCTGGTCTTTATCCCCACCCAACTGCTTTCTGTGGCATGTATGGTGCAAGTAGATGCAGACAAAGCAATTACCCCTTTGCTTTCGTGCATTTCCACCCATTCAAGCGCACCACGAGCCTCCTTCGGTATCCGTTGGGTCATTATCTGACAAGAGGCGAAAGAGGGGCAGTGTGCGTGGGGCGCCGTCACCTGGCTACAGGAGTTCAAGCTCTCATCCCATGTTATCCATGTATCACTCGCAAAAAGGCACATTCCAACTGGTACAGTAGGCCATACCTTACCCTGATCCTTCGGCTGGTTTGAAGTTTGTCCGCTTTGCTCAGAAAAGCAACATGAATCCAAGCCCCATCTCTCCTCCTTTTTCTGATGTTGAGAGCCATCCGCAATCTAACTTGCTGAGCCAAACACTATTTATCCTGTATAGACTAACATGGCGTGCTAACATGTTTTCGCTTGTTATTGGCGTCAGCGGAGGGCTCTAATCCTTTTTTTCCCAAGAACCACCCTGCTGGTCAGAAAGAATAACGAAACCTGTTACTCGCTGCAAGGTACCCAATTCGCAGTCTATGGCATGAAGTGGGCATATGACATGGCTCGTGAATCACACACCTTTCAAAGCAATCTATAACAAAAGGATAGGTCTGCAACTCTCTCGTTCGGGTTTGAACAGGGCTATTACATTTTTGTCCGAGACAGTGCTGTTCATTATTATTTACGAGGACACATTTGACGCATATCAAGGATGCTGTAAGCTTTATTCAGGGCTGCCTGCGCTCTCTTGCCCCTTCCTGCGGATGGCCTCGTTGCTCAAGAGGTCTCTGACTACTGTTTCCACTGCCTTGTGCACTCTCAGCCTGAATAGACGTAGAGTTAGCGCGACTTGGTGTTCTAGAAGTTGACGTGGTACTGGCTGCAACTACGGCACAAGATGGCGTAGGCGAAGGCACTAGCTGGTACGGATGTGCTTGATATACTTGCTCCGTTGGAGAAGAAGGGGTAGAATACATCCCCGCAGTTGAAGTGCCCACAATAGGTGGGTTATAATCCGACGCGTATGCGTTGCTGGGGTGCGCGTACGGACTGCTCGTGGATAGTCCTGCACCATAGATTGGGGAAGGCTGATATGGGTATGCTGGTTGATGGAATGCTGTTTGCTGTTGCTGCATCTGCTGATGAAATTGCTGCTGATCTTGCTGTAAAAGTAACAGCCGCCGGTGAAGGTCTAACTCTTCCTGCTGATTTTGGATCTGAGCACGAAGATTCCTCAGCTCCTCGTCAGCGCGCGTGGATTCCTCTGGGTATGCGCTCGCTGGCGGCTTATGGTCTGGGTCATCATCCTCCTCCCTTGTGTTGATAAGCACCGCACCGCGGCGGTCACCGCGTCCTTTACGGGTAATCAGACGAACGATGACTATTATAATTGCGAGCCCGCCGACCACTCCGCCGGCAATTGCACCTGCACGTAAAGAAGATGACTTGGTGCCACTGTCGCTGGCATCGTTATTGCCAGATGGAGGTGTTGGTGATGGTTCTGTTGACGGTTGAGTAATAGACCGATACGATGACGGGGGCGTATAAGTGGTGATCCAAACATTCATATCCAAGTCGTAGATAAGGACCTCGGGGCCAACCTGTCTAAAATCCGCGCCAACGCCTCCCCAGGCGAGGAACAGGTTCCCTGCAATCGTGCATATAGTATATGCTCTGGCTAGTCCTGGAATGCCGGTGCGCCAGATCTGCGTGGTAGTGTCGAAAATATAGATATCATTGGCGAACAGTACGTCGTCAGAACGACGGCCCCCAAAGACGACCATTTGTGTGCCGTTTTCATCTGGATGAAGAGTAGACGGCAACTGTTAGCGGCTGTGTATTCACTCGTGTGTCTGTGCTTAGCTGAAACATTCGAAAATGTCTTACTTGATGCCATGCAGTGATCTGCGCGCATTGGTGGCGCTGGACCCGACGTGACCTAAGATCGATGAAGCACCAGCGTTAATCCTCACAATTCCTTTATGGCATGGGGACGCACACTTTCCTTTGATGAGGCAAATATAACCATTAATCTTCTTACCAAGGTTTGCCAGACTTTCGTCGCAGGCACATACTCTGTCACCACGTTGCCTGCCAAAGGCGTTTCCAGCGTAGTATCGTACCCTCCAAAAAACAAGATGCTACTCCTCTTCTTCGACCACACATTCCCGTAGTACGCCCGCGCCTGAAAGATCAATAATGGATCAGGCAATGGGTCCAAGGTAGAAATCATATCTGCCTCAATGCTATAGACGGTCATTGTGTTCCTGGGGCCCGTGTATCCTGCTGCCAGATAGACTAGATTGGTCGATGGATCTGTCACAGCACCAACACCCTGATATACTCCATATATTGGCTCAATTGAGGAGCGACTCCAAGTGTTTTTTGCGACCGAGTATCGCATTGCAAATGCAGATGTAGATCCGCTATGGAAAGTGATCATGGTCTGCTGGTCTGCTGAGAATACCGCTGGAAAGAGTTGTTGGGTTGGGCCGTCAGCGAGTACTGTCCAGGCAGGTTGAGAGGAACTCCACGGTATGGCGAGGTCGAGGGAATAAAATTGTGGACAGATCTTTCTACTGTTATTGCCACCTGAGACATAAAGCTTTGTCGCTGTCCTCGCATATGCGGCTCCGGAGACTGGGATGGGCGGAGGATTGTTCGGTGCTGATATCTGAGCGGAGACGTAGAATGGGAGCGCGGGCAGTAAAAAGGTTGAGAGGAGTATTCCTACTGGCATTATCCGTGTCCGCGTTGTGTGTGGTTGTGTCATTAGGTTGGCGGTGTGAGAAATGAAAAAGATGATGCTAAATGCTTGCATAGTGATGAAGAATGAGATGAGACGATGATGGACGAGATCAAA